CCTTACTATAATTATAGTATAGTATACCCCAAAGCCCTGTTCTAACTGTTAAGACCCCTGCAGTATCCCAGAAGCTGGAGACTCACTTGATTTAGGAAGCCAGACAAGTACCTATGAAGTATTCCTCGAGGCTCATTTCTGTAATTGTGCGCTATACGATACTCCAAAGATGTGTGTTATAACATGTTATAACTGCTAGGGTGCCGAGATTACCCGTGCAGTTGTGTTGAGGCCTCGGATTTGGAATTGAAATGGAGAGTCTGTTCTGGTGCTCTAATTCACCTTTTCGGGGAGGCGAGGTGGGGAGGCGGCCACTCCGTGGAGAACAGGAAGCTAGCGAAAGCTTTTGAATGCACCTGAACCCCTAAACCCTAACCCCTAAACCGTAAACCCTCAGCCCTAAACCGCTTGTTTGAGGAGACCGTCATTTCTGCTGCGACGGGCCCGAATCCTGCAGCACCTTCCTTCTGACCTTCAACAATTAGGGTTTAGGGTTTAAGATTAGGGTTTAGGGTTTAGGGTTTAGGCATTAGGGTTGATTTCAACTTGAGTTTGGATTTTACGGCTTTCGGTTTCGGAGCATCCCTTCCTCTACACTTCAGCTACTTGTCTAAGTATCAACCCTAAACCCCAAAACCCTAAGCCCTAAAACCCTGAACCCCAAACCCTAAACCCTAAACCCTAAACCCTAAAACCCTAAACCCTAAAACCCTAAACCCTAAACCCTAAAACCCTGAAGCCCTAAAACCCTAAACCCAAGTTTCCCGGTGAACCGCCCAGGTCCTGTACCGCCTGCTTCGGGTGCTTCCGAAAACCCCCGCAGACTGGTTCGGAGAGGACTGGGACCCACGTACTCCGAGCCCTTGTGCCCAGAGTTCGGATTTTGGCTTCGGGTTTGGGGATTTCGGGGTTTAGGGGTTTAGGGTTTAGGGTTTAAGGATTTAGGGTTAGGGGTACAGGGTTTAGGGTTTTGAGGTTCGGGGTATAGGGTTTCTAATTTCTGATAATATTAACAACTCGAATATTGAATATCACTGAAATCTGTTTCCTGAAAGCAGGGTGCTACAGTCTCTCGGTAGCCCTGCAGTGCGCTTCTCCAGGCAGATTCGTATCGATGCTGATGGGTTCGTAACTCAAAGTGCCCTTGCCCAATATACTTCCGAACCCTAAACCCTACCTTAACCCCAAATAACCTACACCTTTAAGGACTTATAATATAAAGAAATCATAATAAGGACCCCAAGCCCTGAACCCCTAAAGCCCTAAAGCCCTAAAGCCCTAAAGCCCTAAACCCTAAGCTGTAGAGCCCTCAGACCCCGCAGCAGCGGGGAAAAGTCAGGGGGAAGCCGAGCACCCCACGACGGAGCATAAATGGG